CTGATTCAGATACCTTTAACGAACACTAGGTTTAGTTGCTTGCATTATTAATCAGATTCGAATCTATATCAATCGTTATACTCCTGGGGTCATAAATACAAGATTCGTATACATACTATAAAAAGGATTTTATACTTAGAACCAAAAGAATAGCTTGATAAGAGCATAAATATTTTTTTTTCAAAAAAATAATAATGTTGATCATTGGCTGCACAGCATATAATTAATGGCGATGATTATTTAGTTGTGAAAGGAAATATCTTGGTACATACGAAGGAAAAAACACCAGAAGGATCTGTTGTCCATAATTATTTTATTTTTTTGTTTTTTTTAACGTGGCTCTCAACCATATTGAGGAAAAATTATCAGAAAGATCCTCATTCCATTAACCAGAAAGAAAAGAAGAAAACAAAGTAAATTCCCGAAAATCCCAGTGAGAACTGCAGAAATATAAAAAGTGGCCTAATAATGCCTGGCAAGAATCGGGCAAATGCTCAAAGTTTATTGAAGTACCAATGAATTATTCCAAAATTTCACTCCCTCACAAACATTAATCAAGACGGTTGATGCTGATATTTAGCTGACAAAAAAAAAAAAGATGCCGATTTTTAAGAATATTTATAGGAATTACAAGTTGCGGGAGCAAAATAATTATACCTGGTCCGAATGAGAGTATTTTAAACATATTGAGGAAAGTGGAATATGTAATTTCGATAAATATTGGTACAAATTTATAATATGTATTTGACTGAATTGCTCATTGCTTGCAGCCTGACCCGTATATATATGGGCTGTCTTATGGGTCTCCCAGGAAATATTTTGGCAGTCTAATTTGCCGGTCGAAAAGCAAAAGTCTGGGGTCCAATGTCAACACGAAGCCCGCCGAAAGAAAAACGGCAACTTGAAGCCTAACTTAATGGGCTGGATTGGATATATTGCAAGCCCATTTGGAATTGAGTCCATCCTAACTTAACCCGCTTAACTTAACAGAGTTAACCCCTTTTTTGGGCAAAAATAAGACTCGAGACATTCGAGTCTTTGTTTCATTATTCGAAGCAAATATGTGACCTATGTAAGGCTCAAATATGGTCTTAAAAGATCACTATGTAGACTTTGTGAATCTGTAAATTCATAAAAGGAAGGGTATTTCGGGAAAAAAACATGGTATATTAATTATAACTATCTAATTTAACTAACTTTTTAAATCTAATCCAATTACTAGAACGGGTTTTAAATTAAGGATAAAAGGATTATGATTTTTCCACCATGATTAGTTATGGGGGTTGGGCGTTGGCAAAAAAAAAAAAGTTATGGGGGTTGGGCTAATAAATTCCAGGCAGAAATATAGGGTTGATGAAATTATGATGGTCCATCATGTATTCTACTTACCCGTCCTCAAAAGTTTGGGCTTGATAGAATTCAATCTCATGGAAAGGGTTTTAGCCAGGAATCCCAGTGTTGTCCATATTTAGTATCCAACAGTATTTCAAAAGAATTATTTCTAATAGAAGAATACATGTGCCTAGTAAACAAATAAAGATAAGGAAGGAAATAGGGAAAATGACACAAAAATGATATTTAAACTTAAAAATCCCAAAATGGTTACTTGAATAAGCAAAATCCCAATTTTGGTATAGGTAACCAATTTGGGATTTGCAATTTTGTTAAAATGACCATATTATCCTTTATTTGTTGAATATGGTCATTTTAGCAAATATGCAAATTCCAAATTGGTCACTTATCCCTAAATTAGGATTTTGCTTATTCAAGTGACTATTTTAGGATTTTCAAATTTATATGTTATTTTTGTGTCATTTTTTCAAAGAAATAAAGAAAGGAAGAATAAGAGTGACTTCAGAACCAACCCGTGATGCTGGACTTGAGGTTTGCCATCTATGCTTGTGCTCTTTTTGGGTTAAAGGCAACTGCAAAACAAGGAGACCAAGCCCAAAGATAATATTGGGGGGGGGGGGGGGGTTTCCATGACCATGACGCCGAGCTTGTTTGCAGCAGCTATTCCATGCCCCAACGGAGAATTGTTCAGAGATCGTAATCTCCTCCCTTCATTTCTCTGATTCTTCACTTCCACGAAAATTCCATAGTCCGACTCCATTCTTCTCTCCTCCTTTGACGATGGCTGGTCAGCTTGCATCTTCCTCATGCGCGGATGCTTCCTCAAAGTTTCGAGATACCCAGATAAGTTGACTTCACACCCATGGGCACGCCACACGGTTTTAGAACATACCGAGAATTTCATAAATAAAATAAGTAAATATAAAAATAATTAAAACAAAAACAGTGAAAAAAATAAGCTATTACTCCAATCTCCAAAAAAATCCCAATTGTTTCGAATTTTCTCTTTTTGGAATGGAATATTTACAGAATCCCCATGAATAGGACCAAACCTTATTCCATGGGTTATTGAGAATTCTAAAGGAGTATTTTATTGAATTGAAGAATTCAATTATTACTCAACAAATTCAAATTCTTAAGGGATGAGATCAATTCAGAAGTACCTTTTTGTATTTATTATTATAACAGACAGAATTCAATTGGTCTAATTCAGGACCGTCCAATGGATTTGAATCCTATCTATCCGAGGGATATATCAAGATAAATAACCGGCCCCCTGCTATTCAAAATATAAAGTCTTGTTTTTTTTTTTCATGAGTGTCGCTCTAGATTTGTCAGATCATTTAATGTATTTTTTTATTTTTAATTAATTATATATCTCTTTCATGTTTTTTTTCCCCACTCACTCACCTACTCCATAAATAAAGGTGTTTAAGAAAAGTAAGTTATATATATATATTTTTTACATATTCATTATGTTTAACAAATTTTTATAAACTGGAGTCTGAGTCGAGCTAATTTACGGAGTGTCACTCCAGCATTCGTGTCAGTTGCACATAGGCCTAACCTGGGATGGGTTTATAAAAGCATGGGGGTCCATCATTTTGCCGTTAGTAAAATCCGCGAGGTCTATAGCAGCGGGGATGACTCTGTCGGCGGCCGTCGGCTTTTCCCTGTCTAAGCTGGCTTGTTAATCTAGTCACAAGTCTACCCAATATTAGTAATACAATACACGATTTCCTCAGATGACAGATACACGTCTCATTTATAATGGCAAATAGTTTAAAAAAAAAAAAAAAGAAAGAAAAAGAGAGGGAAGTTTCACTTACGGGACCCATCTATTTCTGTAACATACTATTCAAGTTAAAGTCTTATCTTATGACCAATTTTTGTGTATAAAATCGTGAGTTCAACAGTACTATATAAATATATATATATGTATAACCCCATTATGTTATACTATTCAAATAAGCGAGTAAAATCATTTTTTTTTACGCATAGGTAATTTTTCATCAAGATAAGATTATTCGAGACACTATTATCTTTTAGGCACTTAGACACTAAATGTGAATATTCTTCTTGGATAAAATCTTAAATCATGATAGCCTTTTCTTTTTCTCACCTAAAATGTGCCTTGTTTGGGATGCCACTGCTTTTTACTGTGATTTAAAATTATTTTGATGAAATGGTCTAAAAATTAAGGAAAAATTGAATATCAAAAGAAGAAATACAAAGGAAATCGAAAAGGTTGTGAAAAATATTACACATAGTATCATATTTAGAATAACGAAAAATATAGGAAAAGTCCTAAAAACATACCTCTAAAACTTCAAAATCAAATCAGGAATAATCACAAAAATGTGTTACCGTTTACTTTTTAAATGTTGTCCATTGTCATTAGACTGTAGTAAACAAAATTGATTTACAATTTCGAAATTCAAAGGTTTTTTTGTGTGGAAATTTTCCCAAAAATATATCTTTATTTTATAATACATATATATATATATGTATATGATATGGAGAGAAATTTGAGATGAATAATAATTGCAAAAGAATAATAATCAACATATTAATATAAAAACCATTTTTTTCCAAAAAAAAAAAAATAATTCGACCAATCTTTTATTCTTCAGGACATGGTATGATGAAAATAGTGGATTTCAACAGCGGGGAAAATTTCAGTGCATACCATAGACGCACAGTGCAATCCAATTTAAAAATTATAAATAGGGCAATTTATTTTGAATTCCACAAACTCATGGACCCACTCTAAATTACCTTGATTATGTTAGTCAGGGAAAAGTTGTTTTATATTTTTCCTCGTGGCAGCATTAGTTGAACACTGAGTGGATGGTGAGAACTGAAATGATATAATCAACCTACTCAAATACACGCCTCCAACCATAACTTTGAAAAAATGTCGGTAGAAAAACTTTACCGATCTCATATCAAAGCAAAACTTTACCGATCAACTCAACTCATAAATGCAAACCTTGTTCTGATTTTCATGAAAAGAATATATATGGAAGGAAAATATGGGCCTCACTCATCAGATCCAGCCCGGAACAGACCATACAGTTTGCGGCAAGGACCTCTTTTAGCTTATTTTTCCTTCTTCTTCCCACTTGTTGATTATATGCAATTTAAAAAACTGAAGTACCTGATTCTCTTTAAGTGAAGATCAATGGCACAACTCAGTGCATTTTATGAGTTGCTGGAAACCATTTGGTCACCGATGCCCTCAAATTACTTGCTATAGCTGCATAGCAAATAAAATGCTCAGAAGAAATGAGAACTTGCCAGTATGTCAAAGCACAAAACGGCACAAACTGACAAGGCCCCTTACCTTGTTACTTTCTTTTAAAGCACACAGCAAAAATGGTAAGAAGAACAAGAAACAGAGCCCTAAAACTACTCCACAGTTTTGTGAACGATCTCGCTAGTCTTCATACGATCCCAAAGATGACTTATCATGCACACTTTTAAAAAAGCGGATTCATGAAATTATAAACTTGAAACATCGACGTATTTAAGGGCACACTCACAAAGCACACAGTCAAGGTTATTAACTTTCGGTTCTTCTTTCAAAATGGCTCAACCCAGAGCTAGAGGGCACGATTGCCACCGATAATAAACCCAGAACTGAATTGAGGGATTGAAAAACAACTGTATACTTGCTACTCTGGCCCCCCAACAACGTAGGGCCTGTCAAACATTGTCAAAAATTGAAGAATCAAAATTTATTCAATGAAAGAAAACCCAAACCAGAAAACTCCAAATCACACGCTTAAAATTATCCCTAAATTCACGCTATTAATCATCTATATATTTATCCTTCGGTTACAGCTGAATAGACAAGTACACCAATTAAACTGAACACTTCATCTTAGCCTATTGCGATAAAAGATAACTAAAGGAATTAACGACTTTCACTTCCAGGATTCATCTTTGTAATTCATTTGATCTACACGAAATTCAGCGCATTAGTACCTCCGTTCAAGATTCTACATCTACCGAAGCCCAAAGATTTTCAATCCATTTAGCAAACTGCAACCCACTGCGACTTCTCTCTACCTCTGCAAGACGCATCATCAAATGATCAGCTTTCTCGTTAAATATATATCCCAAGAACCAGAGACCTGATCCTCAAACCCCATCTTAAAAACACACAGAACACAGTTAATTTTCCAGTTTTCAGATGGCACCATATTAATCACTTCAAGTATGTAACAACTAGGATTAATCATTAAATATCCCGGAGAAGAGTCGAAAGAGAACCTTTGCTGGAGTACTTAGCCCCTTGTAAGCATCGGCAGAGAGTCCCACCAACCATAAGCCAGGGAAAACACACTGAAATTCAAAAAGAAAGATTATTTGTTTATGACATAGCGTGATCAAAATCCGCGGAAGCAAATAATCCACATGAACAAGAAAAATGACGGAGAATAGAACCCATACATCAAGTTGTTTCTGCACATTCTTGTGTCTTTTCTTAGGTCTTCGAGAGGGCCTCGACCCAGTCATCACAAATACGTCCTCTTCAATCTCTTCCTTTGACAAAGCGATCCATAATCTTCTCTTCTTTCTCTCCGTATTTTGCGTCTCCGTGGAACCCCTCAAGTGACGTGATTTCGGCTGCGGATGGTTATCACCTTGCTGAACCATATGAACAGCGGTAACCGCCGGAGCCGTTTCCACCAAATCTCCGTGCCTCGACGGTCCTCCTCCGATCTCCCCAGTGCCTTTCGAGAATATTGGTTTTCTGGGCCTCAAATTCCATGGCTTCTGCACTAAATCTTCAGCTTCAGCTTCTTCAGCGTCCTCTGTCTCCCTCTTCCTCACTCCAGCTTCATCATCAGTTTCATTGTTACTCGCTGACTCTAAAGGCTCATGTTGGTGCCGTTGCTTCAGAGATTTCTCTCCAGAATAGCCCGAAGAGAACACAAATCGGTTTCTGGCAGTTCTCGATCCGACCTTGCAAGCTCGAGTTTCGGATTCCGACTCCGGCTCAGAGTTATGGTCAGCGATTGGTTGGGAGGAGTCGCCGGATGTCTGACGGCGGCAACGATGGCTAGTATTCGTCTGATTCTTGCCACCCCATTTCAAGAAAGGCAGCGAGAAGTTGTGGAGAGGCTGAGACTTCATAGTTGAGGTGGCCATTGAGAACCACCACGACCCTCTCTCTAAGCAGCAAAAAGAAACTATATCGAATCAAAAAGCACAGGACAATGGGAGAATTCAGGAAACCCTAGACACGCGAAGAGGACGATGGATGGAAGGAGAGAAGGAAGGAAGGCAGGATGGAGAAGAGAGGTGGTTTGATGATGAAGTTTTTAGAGAGAACGAGGCGCTGTGTGGTTATATGTATTAGGCCCAGCTCCCTCGCATACACAAAACGAGCCAGGAGTTCGTTCTTCTACGTTGTGCACGCCGTCTGCCCTTGGCTTTCTCCTTAATCCCATCCGTATCCTTTTCCTTTTCCCTGACGCCCAGGCGGGGACCAATTAACGGTAACGTTAACGGCATCACCTTCGTCCCTCGCTCGCCCGTTCCCCAAGGACATGCACACATCCAATAATAATGAAAAAACACATCTCAACAAAAACAAAAATCATTGATATATCTATATCATATACCACTTGATGCCCAATATAAATGCTTATAATACACTCTTGCATATTAAGAAAAATATCAAAATAACAAAAACTTTTAATTTTATGCTTATTGAAGTTTATCTCTCTCTTTATATCTACAAATCATTCTCATACATTTCCTTCTTTTTTTAAATAAAAATGAAATTAAAGTAAAATTAAGAAATAAACATTAAACATATTACGGCTAATTTACATTTAGAACAAAAACTTTTCCTGCAAGTAACATATATTTAGGGATAGACTGTTATATGGGTGAGGGCAAAACTTCAGCAAAATATCTACAGGGCAAAAACTATATAAAATAAATAACATATATTAAACCAGGTTATTTAACGCTAAAAATGCATGAAATTTATACCTAATTACGTGTTATATAATTAACGAGAAAAATATATTATACGACTAATAAGCATGTGCTTCGTTATGTGATAACACCCATCTTTATCACTCATAAATACCGAAATTCATTTCTCAGCACTTTCAAATACCAAATTTGACTGATCTAAGCTGCGCTTAAGAATTCAATACAGTAATTGTTTTGATATATTCACTGTATGAAAAAAAGATTATTTTCGTAACTTCGAGTGAAAAAAAAAAATCCCCATAGAGGGAAGAAATTCCAATTTATATAATTTCTACTCCTTGTGATTTGACTAACATTCGAGTTAGGCTGCGATTCCCATTTAGATCTCTTAATAGCGCGCAGTGCTGGATTTAAATCATTCTAAGCAAGATATTTTTTGATTTCTTAACATAAAAAAACTACCAGAGTGTGGAGAATAAGAATTGGGGTGCCTATAATTATATACTACTCCTCTGGTCTTAAATAAGACTATTTTTATAGTGTAAATTACATTACGAAAAAAAATCTTATATTTAGAACCGGAAGAGTACTTTTTTTCTTTAATACAAAACCCAAATAACTAATTTGAAGAGTAAAGGTGTTAAAAAAAAACAGGTATTATATAAAAGAAAATCAGCATTCCATTGATGTGTAGATAACTAATCATAGTTCTTGAACTAGGTGTTCCCGTTAAGTGATTCATAACCTTGAATGATTAGAAAATTCAATCAAACATTAACTCCAACAGAAGGGGGTGACAAGAATGGAATTAGGCTTGTTCCTGGCAGGGGGGGGGGGGGACTTGTTCACTTGCTTTCCCCCGACTATGTCTTTGTTTACTTTGCGAGTTTCTTTTTTTTTTTTTTTCCAACAAGCTAGTTGCGAGGTTAAAAGAAACAATAATGTCACCCGCGCGCGGAGCTGCAGGAGGTCTGTAATAATTTCTCTTATTTGTTATAAAAAATTATTTTCTCTTATTCTACATATAAGAGTTAAATGTAGTTAATTTATAAGAACTGAGAAAATTAGTTGGGTGAATTATTCACTGGCAAAAAAAAAAAAAGAGGTTAAGTCCATTGTTTCTAGTAGATATGGTTTGATTTTTCTAAAATAACTTATTTAATTATTTATATTGAAACTATTTTTATACATGAACACTCTCTCCAACATCCGTAATCCATAGAATTGTTTGAGCAAAAAAAATTAAAAATTTAAGAGATAAAGTAGACTAAAATGAAAAATCTTACATTACCTCCGGCTTTTAATATAGGAGTTAATTTAGGATGAGATTTTGTTTTGGATATAAAAGCTCAATCTATTTTGTCTTTTAAATTTATTTTTTTTTGCTAAAATATTCATATTGATTGTAATAATTTCTACCAAAATATAAATTTAATAGATATGATTAAAAACTGTAGTTTATGAAAGTCAACCAACTTAAATTTTTTAAATTAGTTATTTAACTTTTATATTAATATTTGAAGGTAATAAAATTAAGACAACCTCTTCAGCTTCTCATTGTTATTTGTCAATAGAGAAGTGACACTCTTTATTTTCATACAGAAGTTTTCAAAGTGACAAGGCATCGCTCCTATAATGAAGTGATTTTTTATCCTGTAATTCATGTTTCATCCCACTCTATTTTTTTTATCATATTTTTTTATTAGAAACAATTATATTCGACACGCTGTTGGCATTCCACTCCATTTTATGTACCCAACCAGGTTTAAACAAAAACAAACGAAAATAACACAAGCACCAAAGGAAAAGCCCATAAAATAGTGGGGCTTGTTCGTGCCACGGGGGTCAAAAGATATTTTCGTAGCAATTAATAATATGTGCAAAAATCAGGTCAAAGTTATAATAATAAATCGATTTCAATATCCGTGTGATATTATTACGGTGGAGATTATAATCAAAGTGAGCCCTGCTAAAATAGTTAGATGTAGATGCTGCTGGATTCTTTTAACTTAAAAGCACACGTTGACCAGATACGGAGAATATCTTTTGTGCGTGTTGATTTCTCCCTTTGTTTTTTTTTCCTGTGTTGAACATGTAATTTAATATGCTACTTGCACTCCTAATTATAATACCTTATTTATAAATTACAAATGAGGTCTTGTAATTAGGATTGTGGGTGGTATATGGTCTATTTTGAATTCTTTTTTTTATAAACAAAACAATAAAAGATATGAATTAAGTATTATCTCTCTTGTTAAAAATATTAGAGACAAACTAAATTAAAATTTTATATTTAAAACTAAAAAGATAAGTCCCGTTAATTGAGGGGCAAGTGAGATTTTTCATGATATTGGGTTTATTTTTAGTTGGATTGAAATTTCATGGTCCGTGGGACCCTAGCTCACGAAGGGCGAATATTAGGGTTCGGAGATTCATGTGATCGGAATTTGACTTAAAATCCCATTAAGAAAAAAAAAAAAAAAAGCCCCGGTCAAGTCACGTGTGTTTTCCTAACAGCCACAAAGGGAATATTTATTATAATATCCATCGTATTTATGATTGGAGTCAGGTTTCCATAATTTAAAAAGCGGTGGGGATGGATTAATATGCTTAATCCATTTGTTTGGGCAGGAACATTTCATTGAAACACTCAAATCCTGCTGGTCAGATCCCAAAACATGACCAGTTCGTTGACCTCCTCGCTTCTTTTTATTATTCATCATCCCATGGGAGGTACAGAACACTAGTTGTATTCAAATTTTCCTCCGCGTTTCAATTTTCAGTTGTCCGTTTTCGGGCTCATAGAAAACAAACCCGGACAACTTACAGTTAAAAAACTAACAAGTTATTGGCTGAAACCCGATAAGAAAAAAAATATAATGTCAAATTTCGGAAAGCGCACTTGTTAGAAAGAATTTGATCTTAATGGTCACGATCCAGCGGGAATTAACTGTTTGTAATTTACATATAGATAAACAAAATAAAATAAAAATCAAGCCTCTATACACTGTTATTTTTTAACTGCCTTGTTACTACCAACAATTTTGGCGGACAACAACACAATATAAGTATTAAATGTACCGACAAGAAGGATCAAGGCCAATGGAAAACCTATTTTTTACCTCTTTTTGAAACAAAATCGTGCATTTAAATTTTCTGAATAGGAAAAACTATTCTACGACAAACTTGCGGCAGGTATTCTTATCATTTAAAATCAAACAGGTGGCTAGAGGCGCGACGATGTTACATGCACGTCATAACTCAGCCACGAGGAGGCTTCCTGCTATGCCCACTATCCCCCGGAAGAGATCATATTTTGCTATCTACTACTGGTAAAGTACTACCCGCTTTATTTGATTTTTATATTAATTTTAAATATAACACTTTAATTCATTTTATCTTTTATGTTTATATTTTTTTTTCTAAGGTAGTTTCTAACAATGGTAATTTCAGTTAATATATTTGATTAACAAGGATATTTTAAGAAAGACAACATTTATTTATCACAAATAACTAATTTAACTTATTTCTTTAATCTCCTTAAATTATTCAATTAGCTTTTATAATTAGAATCGAAGATAGTATATTCACGCTGTCTCCTAAAAACATTGCAAGAGGATAATTATTTTTAACTCGGAAGTGTTTGAATTTGTTTTGATAATATCATGCCCCTTTAGTCCTATTTACAAGGTAGAGAGAGAAGATTTTTTTTTTGTCACATTTATAAATTACATTATTAATTATTAAATTACATTATTTTACCATTTACTTATTATTGTGTAGATTGTTATCATGTTTTTTTTATTTAACACAATTATTGTTATTGTGTTAGAAGATGCATATAGGAGTAAATTTTCAAAGTTATTAAATTATTACATTTTAATATATAGCTAACAAAGTCTATTCTTTTTAAATGTTGTTGAAATACGTTGAAAGTAACTATGAGAAGATTAGTACTGACAAGGGGGCATGCACAGAAGAAAGAAAATGCAGAGCTGCCGTAATCAGAAAATAACACAGTGGGTTGAAAGAAAATGCAGAGCCGTAATCAGAAAATAACACAGTGGGTTGACCTAAGCCGTGGATTCCACGTGAAATTTAGGATTACATCCAATCATGATTTCGGTTTTGATCCCCTCCTTTTTGGTTTTATTGAAATTTAGAAAATGTTCAGTTTGGTTGGAAAAAAAAGAAAAAAAAAATTACTATCAAGTCTTATGTAAGAGAAATAACTACTAAAAGGTTCAGTAACAACTTGAACAACTTATAATGACAAGTTATATAATGGAGAATAATAACTTTTAGAATTTGTTTTGTATTTTTTTTTTACATGACGTTATAATTCTCTCTTAAAAAAACTCAGTTTTACCCCCAAAAAAGGGGAATTGTATAAGAAAGCTGGGCCATTTTTAAGTCCAGGTCAAAATATCAAATAAATCCAACTTAAAAAAATAAAGCCCACTTTAACAAAATAAAACCTCAAGCCCAAAAAGAGAACCCCTCCCCTCCACTGTCCCTCCTCTTATGCTGCCGTCATCAAATCCATTCCTATCTTACCAAAAAAAAAAAAAACGAAGAAATCCGTCCCCAGTCCCCTTCACAGACACGCCTTGCTTCAAACCCTCAGCCCTCAGCCATTCTCGAACTTTAGCAAGCTTTCACTCTTAGTGTGCCTTCAATCTCCTTCAAATTTCTTGTTTTCTCATAACAGGACAAGATCAGCCCCATTATCCATGTTCATTTTGACCAATATACACCCACCCGACCTTCGCCCTTACTAGCACTATATATCTAGTTTTCCCGAGTCGTTTTTCCCCCCTCCTGAAATGGTCTAAGAATCCCATATTTTCTTCTTTCTTTCTCGTGGTGGTGGCAGCTGAAGCAGAGGCAACAGAAAAAGTGGGGGTGGGCAATGGCTGCGGCAAACAGTTTAAACGTGAAACATCTGGTAGACGATTTTTTATTTTCATTTTATCCATGAAGAGTTTTGTCATGTACTAACTATCAGAAAATACACATGGCTTCTAACATCTAATTCCAGGAAGCATTGGAGATCTTAGCATCGATTGATTTAATTGACTTGTGCAAGGAAGCCAAAATCGAGCGCTGCCGGGCGACTAGAGATTTGAGAAGCTGTGGCCGCTATGTCCACCATTTGTTGAATTCATGTGGGCATGCCTCTCTATGTGCAGAATGTAGTCAACGGTGTGATATCTGTCCAATCTGTAGAATCCCAATTCCCAAGACTGGCACTAGACTGTGTCAACGTCTTTATTACCAGTGCATTGAAGCTGGACTTATATCTAAAAGATGTGATGAGAGATTTCAAGAGATAGAAGACAGCGAGAAACAACTAACTGCCGATGTTCAACGGCTTTATTCTTTGTTTGATGTCGCACTTGAGAATAACTTAGTTTCTCTAATTTGTCACTGTATCCTTTTTTATGTCAGCCATATGTTTAGGTATAGAGGTTAAGTTTAATTTTAATTAAATATATTTTCTATAAGTATCTTTAATCTGTGTGGATAGAGTGTACATTCCCCTTAACAGAAGTTCAACAGACGTGACAGATGTATGTATGGATGAAACTGCTGTTTCCAGTGATCCTGTCATTGCATTTTTGCTGGATGAAGTGGTGGTGAAGGATTGGTGCAAGAGGACATTCAAAAACATTATATGTGAATTACAGGAAATCTGTATCCTGAAGCCTTTTCAGATGTTGTTATCTGAAGCTGATCCTATTCTGTGCTTTTTCCCCCCCCTGTATTCCCTAAATCTTTTTGTTTCTTAACGATTTTTACTAGATAGTCTTGACACTGGAGGAATGAAAAACAGATTGAGTTCACTTCTTAAATTTAAATTGCACTTGGCTGGAATATCTACTGTGCTAGAAGTTTTGGATTCATCTTTCAAGGGCACTCTTTCAGCACAACTTAACGGTTTGCACCATCTACAGGAGAGCGTATCAAAGACAAAGCAGGTCTAGTTGCTTGCAAAATTTTGTATTCAACGGATTGCGTACCTATTTATGAGATTGCTTTATTAAATGTTTTCTCCCTTCCCTATGACCCGTAAAATCAAGAAGTTGGTAGGTGTTATATTGTGTTATTTTTAACCGTTGTTTTCAACGAGATTTTATCCTGAGTCTTGAAAAGTATGGATGACAATTGTATATTCAATATAAGGCGGCTCTGTTTGTATACCAAATCATGGAAAGAGTGAACTAACTATTTCAAAGCTATTATTGCTGGGTGCTTTTAATTAAGTAGCGTGGCATATATAAGATGGACTTAAGCAGTCAATATTTGCCCTTAATCTTGCTATTTTGTTGATTGTGATTGCCTATTAAGTATATAGTGGCTACCCTACCTCTATCTGTCTATCCCCACCCAGAATTATGGAAGTTCTAAAGACGTCATGTAAATTAACTCATTCCAATCTACATTCAAGTAACTAATTCGTGTTGTGCTGTTCCTTCAGCATCTGGAGATTATTATTTGGTGTACAAGACATGAATTTTTGGAGCATGTGAGATCTCGTTTTACTGATAGTTCATCATGGGCTTCAGTTGTACGTGAACGGAAATCAGCAGCAATTAAGCGTGCTTGGCCCAATGCAATAAGCCAACCTGCGGAGTCAACATGGCAGGATGGTTCTTTATTTATTGAAGATGCATTAAATAATCTTGAATTAGAGGAGGGTTTGATAAAGGACATTGGAGAGGGCTTGACAGTTGCTTCCTTGCAGAAGGATGGTACATCAATTTTCAGGGCTAATATTGATGGGGTACTGGGTTGCTATCCCTTTAAAAATCTTCGAGCTGCTGCTGACTTACTCTTTTTACGTGGTAGTTCTGACATGGTGGTTGCAAAACAAGCCATTGTATCCTTGTCCTTGTACCTTTTATTGTGGTTATGAGTTCTCAATGGTTGTCATTAATTAGAGGATTGCTTTATTAGTTTCCTTAATTTCTATAGTTTCTGTATATTTGTATGATCGCCACTGGACAATTCCAGATGAAGAATGGAGAGAAATAGTGGAGGACTTTGCGGCTACCTTTAGAATTAGTAGGCACTCATTATTGGAGTCTTTAATATTTTATCTTCTAGATGATCACACAGAGAGGAGGTTTACAGGTAACTTGCACATGTTACTACTATGCTCATTGAGACTGGCTGATGGTTTTGTTTTGGCTTCAAATAAATTCTTATATTCAGTTGATCCACTGGTTTCCTTTGACTTGAATGATCAACGTCTTACTTTTCTTGATACTGTTTTATATTAAAATTTCCCTTTTGACCTTGAAACAGAAGCAGGTGAAGAATTGTTTGGTTTCAAGTTGTATGATATTGCAACTGCATGCGTAATATGTTCAGTCCTTCTCTTTTGATCAATGGTCCCATATCTGGAATGATTGATAACCTTTAAAAAGTATTCAAAGTACAGATAATCCCCTTCCCAAATAAATAGAAGGGTTTTTACGTTTTGATGTCTGTTTTTTTTTTTTTAATGTGTATGTGGTCTCTTCCCTTCCTTTAAGAGTAATATAATTTGTTATCCTGTTAGGAAGCCTGTCGCCTTCTTCCTGAAATTTCTGGCCCAGCATCACATCCTAAAATTGCTGAAGTTCTGTTGGAAAGGAATAGTCCTGATACAGCTCTTATGGTTTTAAGGTGGGCTGGCCGTGATGGTGGATCACAGTTGATTTCGCTTAGGGATGCTGTGACTTCAGTGAGGGTGAGGGTTGAGTGTGGGCTTCTGACTGAAGCATTTATGCATCAGAGACTGCTCTACACCAGAGTGAAGGAAAACAAATTGATGAGGGGAGCAACTGGGGATGCTTCAGACAAATTAAAAGGTCAATATAGCAGTTGGCTGGAGTGGGTTGAGGCCTTGGTGACTGAGATTTGTTGGCTCTGTATCAG